GGGAGGTGTAAAAAGGCATGGAAAGACAAGACACCAGCTGAACTCTCTCAGTAATTAGAAAGCAAGCCTGCCCCTTGTGTTTGAACAGAAAACTAAAAAAAAAAAATAGAAAAGTTTTGTAATTTGTTGCCTTGAGCCTGTTTTGGAGGGGGATCTTTTCAGGTGCTTCTTTTACTATAAATAGAAAAGCAACTTAAAAAGTGTAACTGAAAGTTTAAAGCCTGTTTCCTTCTCAGGACTCCTGTCATTGCTGGTGGAATTTTTGTCATGGACAAGAACTGGTTCAACCATCTGGGCCAGTATGACACACACATGGACATCTGGGGAGGGGAGAACTTTGGTAAGCTCGTATCACAGCCAGCTAAGCTTATGAATTTCAGGATCTTTTTTGGTCAGTGTTTAGTGCTTTTTGTCTTTAGTTCCTGTACCACCACCTCATTTTCCCAGTACTTTTCCTCTGTTCTGCCACACCCACCTTCACCTGTTCCCTGTTACCATCAAGCCCCCTGTTTCCAGTTTACCTCTTTAGTCCCAGCTTTCTCAAATTAAAACTGAAGTAGTGACGTTCCAACATTTAAATGGTATGAGGTGGCTCTGTTTATGCAGCTAAATTAACAGGCAGATTAATCACACCCCCTCCATGGTGAGGGATATTAATAGGGGCTTTGCCTGGCTCTCAGGTAGATGTTCTGGTCACATGCATGAAGGTGTGAAATACAGTTAGATCTATATCTTTTTGGATACTGACACAGTTTGTTTTTTACCTTTTTACTAAAACATATTCAAGTTATAGTTATATAATGGACATGGACATAAAGTCCAGACTTTCAGCTTTCATTTGAGGGTATCCACATTAAAATTGGATGAAGGGTTTTGGAGTTCAGCTTCTTTAATGGGACAACTRACTCAAACACTATTTCCATTTCCTCTCATAGAGGACCTGAGTTGCAAAAAAATGCATCCGCCCAATAAAAATAAAAAAATAAAAATTGAAGCTACGGCTACAGCCTGAATGTCCAGGTCTGAAAACCACATTAGTGATTAAAAATAAACAAATTAAACAAAGCCTATTACTTTAAAAAATCAATTGGTTCATATATATGTTTTCATTTTTAAAGTGTACTCCAGTAGAGAAAATTATATTCGAGTGGGTTAGGGCTGGGCAATGTGGCTGAAAAATCCATCCCGATATAAGCAATCATATCAGTGTCAAATCAGTATCAGTGTTAAGTTTTTTGTTTTACCTATTTAAAATTAGGACCAGGAGAAAAAAGCTGATTAATACTGCCAAACATGACCTCTCCTGTTTCAGCCACAGTTTCCTCTCAATCCATTGCACTCATTTTCTCCATTAACTCCATGTCGTTCTTTTTTATTTTTAAGCAACAGTTTGTTGCTAGCTAACAGTAAGGGAGTTAGTTAATGCCACCAATGTTGCTAAGCTGGGAAGTGAGAGATTGAGCGGCTAAGCTGTTCCCCAGAATGCCGTGCCATTCTGGATTGGAGTTTAGTAAAATTATCAACATTCTATTTGACAAAATTTTCATTGATGTACATCTTGTGTCTATCGTGATATATGGTATGTTATTGTTTTATTGTCCAGCCCTAGTGTGGGCTGCCGCCAAGGTGAACAAGAAAGAATTCAGTTTTGCAAAGGTAAATCATGTTATTCCAAAACTAGCCACACAGAGAGGTTGCAACGTGGTAGTTGCTTAGTCAAAGTTCGGTGAGACTGCAACAGAAAATTTCCCAAATTTCTTGCAATTTTGAGTTGCCTGCTAAACAGTCACAACACAGTGAGATACTAGCTTTACCTATTGTCACTAGGAAGCCATCTATAATTAATGTAGCAAGTAATAGTATCTAGGATGATACTCACCAGTCCAATGTGGATGGATGGATGGATGGATGGATGGATGGATGGATGGATGGATGGATGGATGGATGCATGGATGGATGGATGGATGGATGGATAAGTGTGTGGGTAGATAGATGCATACATACATACATAAATAGAGAGACAAACAGGAAGTATTTAGCTACATAGTACGTATCTGCTACTGGTTCGTCATACTTTGTGCTTGTTCTCTTGCAGAGCTTTCGTTCCGGGTCTGGATGTGTGGAGGAAGTCTGGAAATTCTCCCCTGCAGCCGTGTGGGACACGTGTTCAGGAAACGGCACCCGTATGACTTTCCAGAAGGCAATGCCCTTACCTACATTAAGTAAGTAGGTCGAGCTAATATCACTGTTGGGAAGTGTTTAAAAATTGGAAGCCTGAATAACTGCATAGAAAACCAAGTAAAGTTCGCAGGTTTATTCTCAGATGTAAAAATTCCATCTCATTCAAAGAGCCACTGTCTGTGTGTGTGGCCCTGAGTCTAATCAGAACACAAAAACAATGTCCTCTAACTTCTGTTGCTGTTACGCTTAAGTCATACGTGTCCTTTCAAACCATTTATATTTAAGAACACCCTGATCACACCCCTAGGGGCGGTACSTTTTACATCAACATTAGAATGTGAGYAATACTCCTTTTGCACATTACAAAGCACGCATGAAACCGACGTTTTGATTGGATGGCGAAATGCCATGTTCCTGCAAAAATTATAAGTGGGGGGGAATGTAATTTGAAAGAGTGAAACGATGATGGCGAGTTGTAATGTCAATGTGTGGTTTCGGAAAATTGTGGACAGCCAATGGACAAGAATCAGAGATGATGTCATCATGAAGCAACTGTCGAGGGTGAAAGAAGACAATCACCGAAACAAGGACGTTCAAGTCGCTGAGAGCTATCTCATTTACTGGCATTTGCTGTTTAGCTATCACGTTATTGTGTATGTTTAGAGACACACATTCATGGATGGTTAACTTCACAAACACACACAAATACAGGTGCTGGTCATAAAATTAGAATATCATGAAAAAGTAGATTTATTTCAGTAATTCCATTTAAAAAGTGAAACTTGTATATTATATTCATACATTACATACAAACTCATATATTTCAAATGTTTATTTCGTTTAATTTTGATGATTACAAATGACAACAAATGAAAATCTCAAGTTCAGCATATCAGAAAATTAGAATATGCCAGTGTGTCCAAGACACCCTGGCGTGGCCTACCTACATGTGGGCAGGGGTTAGGATAAAAAGGGGTTGAATCCTGATGATTCTAAATGCACGGTCCAGTAACTGTCAGGGCTGCATCCATTCATTTCCTGTCCCTCACCAGAGCAGTAAAGGTGGTTCTGAATTGTTCATTCCAATTAGATATTAAATTTAGGGTAAAAGTTAGTTCTTAGGTTGCACATTCCGGGTTAGGTTAGTTTTAGTTTAATTCAATAATTAAAATATTAACAATAAATTTTAAGTATAAGCAGATGAGCCTCTGGGGTAAAAATCCCCTATAAAGGCTGAAAGGGCTGAGGATACATCTGCTTTGGATCATAA